CCTGGGGCCACGAAGCGTGTGAGGGGTGTGCCGAAATGGGGGGTAGAACCGCATGCGAACGCAGCCACTGGGGCCTTCGCTGGAGCTCCCCCTGGGGCCACGAAGCGTGTGAGGGGTGTGCCGAAATGGAGGGCGGAACCGCATGCGAACGCAGCCACTGGGGCCTTCGCTTGAGCTCCCCCTGGAGCCACGAAACGTGTGAGGTGTGTGCCGAAATGGGGGGGTGGAACCGCATGCGAACGCAGCCATTGGGGCCTTCGGTGGAGCTCCCTATGGGGCCACGAAACGTGTGAGGGGTGTGCCGAAATGAGGGGCGGAACCGCATGCGAACGCAACCACTGGTGCCTTCGGTGGAGCTCCCTGTGGGGCCACGAAGCGTGTGATGGGTGTGCCGAAATGGGGGGTGGAACCGCATGCGAACGCAGCCACTGGGGCATTCGGTGGAGCTCCCTATGGGGCCACGAAGCGTGTGAGGGGTGTGCCGAAATAGGTGGTAGGGAGGCATGCGAACCCTGCCACTGGGGCCTTCGGTGGAGCTCCCTATGGGGCCACGAAACGTGTGAGGGGTGTGCCGAGATGGGTGGTGGGGAAGCATGCGAACCCTGCCACTGGGGCCTTCGGTGGAGCTCCCTATGGGGCCACGAAACGTGTGAGGGGTGTGCCCATGGGTGGTGGGGAGCATGCGAACCAGCCACTGGGCCTTCGGTGGAGCTCCCTATGGGGCCACGAAACGTGTGAGGGGTGTGCCGAAATGGGTGGTGGGGAAGGCATGCGAACCCTGCCACTGGGGCCTTCGGTGGAGCTCCCTATGGGGCCACGAAACGTGTGAGGGGTGTGCCGAAATGGGTGGTGGGGAGGCATGCGAACCCTGCCACTGGGGCCTTCGGTGGAGCTCCCTATGGGGCCACGAAACGTGTGAGGGGTGTGCCGAGATGGGTGGTGGGGAGCATGCGAACCCTGCCACTGGGGCCTTCGGTGGAGCTCCCTATGGGGCCACGAAACGTGTGAGGGGTGTGCCGAAATGATGCGGCCACTGGGGCCTTCGGTGGAGTGCCCTATGGGGCCACGAAACGTGTGAGGGGTGTGCCGAAATGGGTGGTGTGCGAACCCTGCCACTGGGGCCTTCGGTGGAGCTCCCTATGGGGCCACGAAGCGTGTGAGGGGTGTGCCGAAATGGGTGGTGGGGAGGCATGCGAACCCTGCCACTGGGGCCTTCGGTGGAGCTCCCTATGGGGCCACGAAACGTGTGAGGGGTGTGCCGAAATGGGTGGTGGGGAAGGCATGCGAACCCTGCCACTGGGGCCTTCGGTGGAGCTCCCTATGGGGCCACGAAACGTGTGAGGGGTGTGCCGAAATGGGTGGTGGGGAGGCATGCGAACCCTGCCACTGGGGCCTTCGGTGGAGCTCCCTATGGGGCCACGAAACGTGTGAGGGGTGTGCCGAGATGGGTGGTGGGGAGGCATGCGAACCCTGCCACTGGGGCCTTCGGTGGAGCTCCCTATGGGGCCACGAAACGTGTGAGGGGTGTGCCGAGATGGGTGGTGGGGAGGCATGCGAACCCTGCCACTGGGGCCTTCGGTGGAGCTCCCTATGGGGCCACGAAACGTGTGAGGGGTGTGCCGAGATGGGTGGTGGGGAGGCATGCGAACCCTGCCACTGGGGCCTTCGGTGGAGCTCCCTATGGGGCCACGAAACGTGTGAGGGGTGTGCCGAAAAGGGTGGTGGGGAAGCATGCGAACCCTGCCACTGGGGCCTTCGGTGGAGCTCCCTATGGGGCCACGAAACGTGTGAAGGGTGTGCCGAAATGGGTGGTGGGGAGGCATGCGAACCCTGGAGGGAGGAGGGCGAGGAGGAGGAGGAGGAGGAGGAGGAGGAGGAGGAGGAGGAGGAGGAGGAGAGGAACGCGGGGCACCGCCTCTTCAAAACGAGGACCCAACACCACAGGATGGTTGGGAACAAAAAACGAACACGGATCCAGCAAATCCGAAGTCGGATCCGCGCGGACGGAAATCGGATCCACCGAGACAAACGCCAAAACCACAATTGGATCCGCGCGAACGTCACGGGATCCGACGGCAATTACTTCACGCGCGCCGGCTCAAGACTTCAAACCGTCGTTCCGGGCCCAGCAAGAAAAACTGTTTTCCTGGTGGTAAGCGTTCCGGCCTTCGGACTTGTCGGTTACCACATAGGCGACACACCACTTCTCACAGGCAGTCTGCTGGGTCAGGAGACGCTGGGCCGAGACGCATGGGCGTGTTGGCCTTCGGACTTGTCGGTTACCACATAGCCGACGCACCACATCTCACAGGCAGTTTGCTGTGGCAGGAGACGCAAGGCCGAAACGCACGGGCGTGTTGGCCTTCGGACTTGTTGGTTACCACATAGCCGACGCACCACATCTCACAGGCAGTTTGTTGGGTCAGGAGACGCAGGACCGAAACGCACTTACGCACTTACGCATGACGAAACATGTTCCTCTTGAGGTGCAAATGGCGATGATGAGGTGGAAATAATTGACCGAGCCCCCTTAGCCCGTATAGTCTTCACGCGGGCGGGTTCCGGGGTCCGCGGATCAGATGTTATTCCCGTTCCCCATTGTAATTAAATAACAGAAAATTACAACGGGGTAAATATCGGACCCACCGAAAAAAAAACCGAACACGGATCCAGCTAATCCGAAATCGGATCCGCGCGGACGGAAATGGATCCGCCATCTCACAGGCAGTTTGTTGGGTCAGGAGACGCAGGGCCGAAACGCATGGGCGTTTTGGCCTTCGGACTTGTTGGTTACCACATCGCCGACGCACCAAATCTCACAGGCAGTCTGTTGGGTCAGGAGACGCTTCAACATCATCATCATCATCATCATCATCATCATCATCATCATCATCATCATCATCATCATCAGCATCAGCATCATGAATATCAGCATCAGCATCAGCATCAGCATCAGCACCCTCATCAGCATAGACAGCATCATCACCATAATCACCGTCGTCATCATCCCTATCCTCATCCCATCCTCCTCGTTCTCATCCTCATCATCCTCATCCTCATCATCACCAACACCATAAGCCTCATCATCGTCCTCATCATCACCATGACAATCATGACATCATGGTTGTCATCATCAACATCACCATCATCCCGATCATCATAATCCTCACCATCATCATGGCTGCCCATAGCCTTGAGACAAGAGGTGTCACACGTGACGGCCTCCCAGAGCCCCGCGAGCAGTCGTCACCGAAAATGTTGGGCTGGCACGGTGGCGGGACTTGCCAGAGGTAGCTGGGTAGAGTCCTCTCATTAGTGCTCTGAGAAGCTGCTTAGGGTCTTCGCGCCGCCAATCGCATTAACAGCTGCCGAAAGCCGGACGCGACGTGCCGAGCACCTCACACAAAAGCGATGACACGTACGTGGTAATCACCTCAGGAAGCCGCCATCCTGCTGAAACACCAAGCGTTATCGAAGCTGGGCGACTTCAGCGTGGACCGAAGATCTCATCACCCTCAGAGAACAGTCATTGACGCGGCGCGGTAAGACCAAACCGACAGACCAAGTTAATGTAATCAAGCATCTTGCGCAGCCTTGAAAAACTTGCATGCGGCAAGGCAGCACATTCGTGGCGCACAGAGAACGGATAGGACGCAGATGGACAGTATGCGCACAGACTCAGCAAACAGCAAAACCTTACGAATTACTGCAAACATACCCCAACAATACTTGCATCGTACTGCTTTAATAAGTTCGGCCGTAGGCTAGTCCGGTTCAGCGCAAACCCAGCTCAACCAATTGAGACAAGACTGCGCTGTGGTGGGGGGCCTTCCCAAACCCGGCTCGACCAATAAGGCCGCCTCCAGGGCCGCGAGCGGCACCGAGACCTGGCTGAGCCAACATCCAGCCTTGCAAGACCCTGCAAGAAACGGCGCTCTGGCTGAGCTCTGTTTGCGCTGAGGCCCGTTGTCTGTCAGCTGATGCGTAATTGCATGGACTCCCCGGGTTCTCGCCAGGTGCCCGCCCGTGGGCGCCTCGTGCTCTGGCTGGGCCTCCTAGGCTTCCGCCCGGTTCCCTCCCGCGGGGGCCTCGTACGCTGGCTGGCCCCTCGGGGATTTTTCGCACCGTGCCCGCCTCGTGGACGCCTCGTAGGCTGGCCGGCGCTCCTGGGCTTTCGCCCAGTGCCCGCCCGTGTGTCCGTGGGCGCCTCGGGTGCTTCTGGATGCACCTATGGATTGCGCCACGTAGCTTGGATCGCATGGGCTGCACCACATGGCCTACAACCCATGAGCTGCGCGGCGAAGAGTGCACCACATAGATTGCGCCCTCCAGGATTTATTGACCACGTAGATTGCCGCCTACAGTTTCCCCACGTAGCTTGCACCACAAACCTTGAACAACATAGACTGCACCCAGAAGATTACACCACATGCGTCACAGTCCATGTGTTAGTTATGACAGAGTGTCAGAATCTAGTCCGCGCTTGGCAAACACTCTGCTTGCACAACATGGATCTCTTGCAGCGAACTCGTCTGGAACCAGCCATGTGCTGGCACAGATCAGGTCAAGACTCGCGCCAGAAAAAGACAGGCTGCACGAAGAGAACCTAGACCCTTTGAAAACGAGACAGCCATCATAAGCCTGTACGGTCAAAGGCATGAAGAGGTATGGGATGCAAGACTCACTCGTCGAGGCCCCATCCAGCAGCGCACCAAGCCCTGCACTTGCAAACGCGCCTGCTGTCTTTAAATTGACCAGCCTGTTCTTATGCAGACTACGTGCGTGCACAACGACTTCGTCGTTCAATGTTATGGTGTCCTGGTTGCAACTACCTGCCGCGTCCAAATATTATGTAAATGTGCGCACGCGTACGTCCTGGCTCCACCAATCCGCGCGTCGCTAAAATCGGGGTGCACCATGCTGTGAAGGGCACGCCGAATGAGGGAGCTCCCCCGTTTGCCGTCGCTCGGTAATCGCTTGAAAAACCATGTACCGTGCCCTCACGAGCTCGCTACTGCCCGCGCACTGGGGTCTCCTAGGTGGCGACGTCCAAACCCTGCCCCGACCGACCACATCTTCTCCCAAACCGATAGGGGCCGGGGGTAGGGCTCGGATTCTACCACGCGTTCGACCAATTCCGAACCCTACCCCCACCGCCCACCGAGTCCCAGACATGCGGCGTCTTGAGTTTTCAATCACGCGGTCCCCGGAAGCCCCGACCCTTTCCCAAAGACCAGCTTTTCATCCCGACTCGAAACTTGATGGCCACAGGCTCGGCGAAGGCCCCCAGCGGCCGAAAATGGCTCAAAACCTCCCGTCGTGTTTGCACACGCGAGCACGTCTGGGGTTTTCACGTCTGCGAGGGTTAAGGCTCGGATTTCGCCGCCGCTCTCCGCGACTGGAGCCTGGCGCGCCCCCTCGGCTGCCGGCGAGAGGCCCGCCCACTGCCCGGGCGCCCACGCCGACGGTCCCTGGAGGCCCCTGGGCGCCCCGCAGAGAGGCGGGCCGCCGCCGCCCGACGAGGTCCAGGGTGGCGGGGTGGCAGGCCCACTGCCTGCTGCGGTCCGCAGCGCCTCTTCGAGTCGGGGATCGACAGCAGAAGCGCGCCGCCCCAAAATCGAAGTTCTCGTCGAAGCTACGAGGAGCGCAAGAACTGTGTCATGGATCCAGCGAGGAATTCCACTCTGGGGTGAATCCAGTCTGCAGTCGATGCCCTACCCGACCTCTGGGGTGGCCTGGAGCAGGCGAGGGCCGGAGGAAGGACTGCATGAGCAGAAATTTTCAGAGGTCCGCGCGTGCTTGCTGGGTCTGCGCGCCAGGGGCGGTGCCTGGAGGCGCCGCCTGGAATTTCCCATCGCTGATCCCACGCAATCCGCGCGGAGCTTCGAACTTTTGCATGGTCATGCCGCTTCTCTGAGGCCAGAAATCAGCCGATCTGTTTGCTGTTTAGCCAGCGGCCCCAGGAGTCCCGACCGCTGGGGGGAAAGCTTTGTCCAGGATCCAGTCCGGATGGCCCCTGGGGCCTGATGACGGGCCCTGGGGGCAAAGCCCAAGAACAACGCCCAGAACGAGACCACCTATCGTCGGAGATCGGCCTTCGGAGAGGGCCGGCGGCGTCTCTCCGGGCGCGCCGGCGGCCGCGTCCAGCAGGGCCGGAAGCTCGTCGGGGGTGGCGGCCACGAGGACCTTCAGCTGCGCGCACTTGCTCTGGGTGAGCCGGGCCGCTCGCCGCACCTGCCGGGCGTCGTCCACCAGGACGATGACGGTAGAGACCGCGACGTGGACCTGCCAGGCTTGAGCTTGGTCGGATCGCGGAGTCGTGCCAGATCGGAATGGAATCGGGTCCCGCGCGAATCCTCCCGGGGCCAGATCGGAATCGGATCGCCGCGTCCGGCTCTGGCTGGCCCTGGCCGATGCCGGGGGATTATGCCGAATCGGATCGAATCGGAATCGCAGCCACAGGCGGCGATTCAAATCGCATCGAAACGAATCGTAGGCGGCCCTGCCTGGGCCGTGGGGAGAACCTCCTCCGACGCCTCCCGCAACCTCTTGGCAGCGCCCACACTGGGGGGGTGGAGCGACCCGTGCGCTGACCCCCACATCCAGAAGAGCCTGACCGCACGGTCGGCCGCCGACCCCAGTCGCCCGACGGGCGGGCTCGGAGAACGGCACGAGTCCCAAAACCGTGCGGTCACACCGAATCCGCACTGGCACACCAGACCGGCGCTGGACCCCCTTGGCGGCGCCTCCGGCGCCGCCACTGGAGCGCTCCGCGCGCCAAGGAGGGGCGTCCAGCGCCGATCCCAAAAATCCTCGCGGAGCTCCGGGAGTTTAACTTTGCTCAGTTTCTCTGATTCGACGCACGGTGTGGTCACCGCACCGCTTGGGGGGGCCCGGCTCTCGGAAGTAGGGGCCTCCTAGATGGGGTCCGAGCAGATGAGGTCCGAGGATCGCGCCACATCGCCAAAGCATCGCCGATGCATCGGCCATGCACCAGCGACGTCGCCGATGCATCGGCGCCGTCGGCATGGAGAACAGAACGTCGGCCCAAAGAGGCCTCGACCCATTCTCCAGGACCGGCTTTTCACCCTGAGTCGTTCTTTGACAGCCCCGAGGCACGACAAGGGCACACCGAGACAGAACATACCGAACAACATCCCGTTGTGATTTCTTCATGCAGTGCTTCTTCGACTCGCGCCACCCCTTGGCGGCGCGCGCAAGGGGGTAGGGGCAGGGGGGAAGTAAGGCTTCCTAGGATGCTGCTTCTTAGACGGCGCTGGTCGTACATCTATAGAAAAGGTCTGCGCCTGCTAAGCTTCAAAGACGCCCCCCCCATCCCCCCACCCGCCTCTAGGGAAACCAACAGGTACCGATGCCGCTACTCTCCAGACCTCTCCCTGGGTGTGTTCTGACCATATGTTCGAGGCGAATCCAGCGGTGGCGATGAGGGCCTCCCAGGAGGCCCAGGGGGGGAAACGAGGGAGAGGGTAGCGGTATATGGCGGTGTGGGTACCTCCCCTGACCCTCTGCGCGTGGCTGACACCCCCCCCGTGGGCACCGCCGCAGCCTGCGCTGCGCATCCTGCCGCAGGCCAGCGGTCTCCCCCGTCGCGGCCGCCTCCACGGCACAGATGCACGGCTTCGCCTCTCGCCAGCCGGCCACCAGGACGGCGGACGGCAAAACGTCCACGCCGCGCTCCTGCTGGCAGGCTCGCGCCACATCTGACATCCCAGACCCCCTCGGGTCATGACAAAAATCGCGACGGCATGTCTTTCTGTATGTTCGGCCTCCTGGGGCCGTCGCCGGCCCTCGGGAGCGTCAAAAAACAACGGGCCTCGGGGAATGGGTTGAGACTTCTGGGAGTCGACGTTATGAACAACTCATGAGATCGGGGGTCTGGGTCTGACATTCCATCCCTGCCTCTCCCATCCCTTTCCATGGCGCTGGTTTCTGCCTGTCCGCGGGCGCATGTCATGGCCAACCTGGAACTCCAACGAGAAGACACCGTCGTGTTCCGCGCCATCGGAAAGAGGTGAGCTGCGTACATAGGTGGAGGAGGAGGAGGAGGAGGAGGTGGCGGGTGAGCAAAAGGATGAGCAGGAGGCATCACGTCCACTCCGCGCTCCTGCCGGAACAGCCACCGCGCGAACTTCGGGGCGCTGTGGAACGTGCCGTGCTTCCTCTGGCGTAAAGCACTCCCTGACACGCTCGCGCCGTGGCAAAAATCACGACAGGATGTTTCTGTCAATTTTTTGACTCTGGGGGGCCTCCGCCGGCCCCAGGACCGTCCAAAAGCGACCCAGGATGAACAAAAACCAACCATGGGGAAAGGGTCGGGATTTCTGGGTACCGCGTCTTGAAAAAGTCAAGACGTCACATGTCTGGGAGCGGGTCGACGACGACAACGACGACGACGACAATGACGACCACCGACATCTCCTGGGTCAATGGGAATCTAGCCGTCGCCACGGGAAGCCCCCCAAAGGAGGTGCAAAGACCGTCAGACAACGCACACACAAAAATTCGACCCTCGATCCTCGAACGGGCACGCAGAAGTCAAGCCCTGTAGGGAACGGGCCCTGGAACACGGGGCCTTCCTTTGCCAGGACCAGCTTTTCATCCTGGGCCGTTTTCTGGCGACGACCCCGGGGCCTGGACAGCGCTCCCGGAGCTCGAGAAGGGCGAGGAACCTCCTCAGACATGGAGTGTCTGGATATTTTAACACGGGGTCCCTGGAAGCCTCGATCCCTTCCCCAGGACTGGCCCTCATTCCTCAGAACCCGCTGGCCCCATGGCGGGAGTCCTGCCCCTCCAAAGCAGACCCCTGAACCGCTCCAGGTTGGAGGCGGCGGGGGGGGTCTGCACTGGACGGGCACCAGCTTAACCGGCCAAGAGGAGAAAAGGGGTAAACTCCTTGCGATCTTGGCGTCCCACTTTTTTCGATCTGGACGTTTTCGCCCGTTTTCGAGACCTGGGACCCACACAAATCGATACATCTTGAAAAGATAGGATCTTAGGCTACGGTCGAGATTTTCACGACTTTGCGTTACTGTTTTCCACGTCGGATCTCAGTGTCTGGAGAAGCGGCCCAGATGGGACAAAGGAGTGCGACCCGGGTACAAGGTACCTCTCCCCCCTCTCTCACGGCTGGAGCCAATGCTCCACCTCAGCCACCCGACCAGCTCCAAACCGTAGGGCCCATTTCCCTCAGGACCCGCTCGCTCCACGGCGAGTTGAGACAACGACAGCTCACGACCAGCCTCTGGGCATCAGCTTCCCGACCTGCGCCCAGCCGTGGCGACGAGGGCCCCCCCCGAAAGCCAGCTGCCGCTGTCTCAGCTGGCCCTCCGCCGGGGGTGAGGCCCGAGAGCCCGACGAGGGCGAGAAACCTCAGGGCACATTCCCCTCAAGACTCGCTTTCTCCACGGCGAGACTAAAGAGGGCTCCTGGATGGAGTCCGAACAGAAGGATAACGGAGGATTGCACCGCATCGCCGATGTATCGCCAGTGCGTCGGCGATGCATCCTCGACGTCGGCAATACATCGGCGTCGTCGGCGTGGAGAAAATCGTGACTCCACATCGAGCCGCATCGCCGATGCGGCGCGATCCTCCGCCCCCATCAACTCGGGCCCAATGTTGGATGCCTATAATAGGGACTCAGACACCCGACGCCATTTTTTCATAACGTCGACACCCAGAGGCCCAGAGGAGTCTCGACCAATTACCCGGGACCTGTTTTGCATCCCGAGTGGCTTTTTGACGGTCCCGAAGCCCGATAAGGGTGCCCAAAGACCGAACATAGCGAAAAACCTCCCGTCGTGATGATTCATCACTCGATGGGGGGGCCCGGGGAGAAGTCCTGCCCCCCAAGAAGGCCGCGCACCCGCCGCGCACCCGCAGCGCAGCGGCCTGAGCCGCCGCGCTGTCGCCGCACCACAGGATCTCTCGCGGGTTCCCGCGGGCCGCCTGCCAAAAAACACCGACTGTAACTACGGCGGGTTCGCGTCGTGCCGGCCCTGGCGTTGGTCTCTGACACGGCGAGGATCGTCCAGCCTTCAACGATCGGCGGCTTTCTCCGACGTGCGTGCGTCTTGAAAAAATCTGGACGGGAGTTTTTGCTTTTGTTTGGAGGGGGGCATTCTTTGGCCTCTGGGGGCCCTCACCGGGCCAAAGGACTGTGAAGCAAAGACTCAAGATGAAAAACCGGTCCCTGGGAAAGGGTCGGGACATCTGGGGACAGCGTGTTGAACAAATAAAGTCGTCGCATGTCTGGGTTTCGATCGCCAGATCGTTCATATTGGCTGGTTGTGGGCCACTGGCGGCTTTCAATGTTGAACGCCCACGCCACGGTCGCCGCCGTCGACACGGCACGAACCTGCCGTACACCTGCGCCGACTCTGGCCAGGCCCATTCCCAGACGTGGTCGCGCCGTGGCAGGAATCACAACGCCCTGAGATCCTGTCTCAATTTTTTCGAGCACCGACCCTGGGCCCCCAGGATTGGCCTGGGCAAGCTCGATGTGGGCGTGCATTCGGCGCCCTCCGAGCCTGCGACGTGTCTGGCGCCGAAGCGCGGCCGCCGTCGCTGCGTGGCGATGGGGTGCTGTGCACGTCGGGGGGCGGCAGGCTGGGCGGCGGCGGCAAGCCGGACGGTTGTGGCGGCACGGCCATCTGTGGCGATGGGATGCTGCGCACGTCTGGGCGGGGGCAGGGCTCCCAGGGCGGGCCCGGGGGCGGCATGAGGCCCGGAGGCGCTCGCAGGGCGGACGGGAGTTCGGCCGCGGCCGTGCGATGGCCGAGGTCGGGCCTCTCGTGCTCAGTCGTCGGCGTGCCTGCCTTGCGGACGGCCAGGGCCAGTTCAGAAACCTTCGACTCCAGCGGTGGGCCGTGCCGGGCTAGGTCGGGAGCCTGCAAAGGCCAGGTCAAGAGCCCGCTGGCCCGCGCCGGCCCGCGCGCAGAGGCCTCGGGTGCTGCGCACGTGATTGCCTTGGGCTTGGCTCAACGGGGGAGGCGTTTCACGGGGGGCGGGAGAAACGTACACGTTTTGTGCCCGGCTTGGGCCCCCTCCGGGCCCCTCTATAAGGCATAAAAATGCACCTTTCCCCCCCTCTCCCCCCTTTTCATCGCTCCCCTGCTACGCAACCTCAGAAATCCGACGTTTCGAAACTACCCTGTGACGTACCCAACCCATGCGCATCATGCGGCAAGATGAATTGGCACAAACTTGCAAGGACAATGACAGTGCAGGCGCCGTTGCACGTTGGGCATGTTATGTGGGATACGCGCGCGGCATGCTTCACAGGACAACACTAGAAGGACGAGGAACGAGGGCCCAGGCTCGAAGAAGACACGAGGATAGGAACGAAGAGCAAGAGAAGGACGCGATGGGGGGCCGAGCGGTCAGCGCGGCAGCAACAGAGAGAAGGTGACGGGGGGATGTGGGCGACGACGAAGACGACGGGAGGAGACAAGAGGGCGCTACTTTTGTCAGTAGTGCGCTAAAGATGCAGCGCTGCCTGCCTCTCTCCCCTGAACCTCCGTGCGGGGGCTAAACGCTCGAAGGCGCGCCGCCAAGTCTGCGGGCGGCCCGTGTGCCAGGAACTCCAGACCAGGATCGCGTATCAGCAGGAGGTCGTCCACGGGCGTCGCTCTCGACAGCATCGCGTAGAAATGCAGCCTGAAGTCGTCCATCTTCTCATCCTTGCACCCGGCATCGACAGTGACACCCCGGTGCATTTTGCGGCCCTGCCAGGCCGTCAGGACCTCGGCATGGGAGATTGCCAGGCCAGTGCGCGACCTTGTGCTTCAAAAAATCAAACGGGCTCGAACTCTGTGGCTCGATGAAGGCGAGGCGCGCCGCGTCCGCGGCGTCGATGCTGTCATCCAGCTCCACGAGCTTCTTGCCGCAAGGGCCGGCCTTTTATTCGCCCATGCGCACCCACGCGCCGTGCTGCAGGCACCGCAGGTACGCAGGACGTCGCTCGGCCTTCGCTGCCTCCACCTCGTCCCCATCTTTCGGTTTGGCGGCCACGTGGGCGACCTCGCCTTCGGCGTCCTTGGCGAGCCCTCTGGTCTGGTCCAGGTGCCCTTGCAGGCGGATGCGCATGCCCACGTGCAAGGGTAACACCCCGCGCAAACCGCCCGCTTCACCCGGGTTGACGCAGTCGACCAGCTGCGCGGCCACGTCAACGGGCAGCGGGGCGAGGATTGGCCAGCTGCCTGGGCGAGTTACGCCAGGGGCATCTTTTTCTCTCTTCGGGGGCAAAGCCACAAATTCATCCAATTCTGCGCTAAGCACGCGCGGCAGCCGCCGCGGCGGCCCTCGACCTGCGCGCCGCCCCCCCACGGGCCCGCGTCTCCACCGCCGAGGCGAACCCGTAGGCAGCGGCCAGCGCCTCGACTGGCGGCAGGACGAGGACGCCGTCGGCTGCGCTGGCGCCCAACCCCCCACTGGCGGCCGGCACGCGCGTCCTCTGGCGCCTGGTTGGCCGCTCATCCTCGTCGCCCTGTGCCGAGCTGGGGCGCGGGCCCACCCTCTCGCCGAGGTGGCTGCCCGCCTCCAGCCCCGGCCTCTCCGCCCGGCGGCTCCGCACCTCGGCCGTCGGCGCCGCGAACGATCCAAAGGCCTGCTTCGGCTTGGGACCTGGCAGCAGGCCGCGCTCAAGGTCGCGCTTGGCGGGCTCTGCTGGCGGCGCCACCTGCGCACTCGCCGCGGAGCCCTCGCCAGCGCATCGCGGGCGTCCTCGCATACATGAAACACGTGGTGCAGGCCGGGAACTCGCTATCCTCGCCCTCCACGCGCCCCAGCATCAGCTGGCGTCCTCTGACCTGCCAGGGCTTGGCTCTAGGCGGCGGCAGGCCGCGGGCAGCGCTGTCGCCCGTCGCGGGTGACGGCTGGGCCCGAGCGGCCGCCCCCCTGTCGGCCGCTGGCGTGGCGGCGGCGGACCTGCTGGCCGAGCTCAGGCCGCAGGCGTTCGCCGACGCCCCTGCCGCGGGGCGCTTCCGCGCAGGAGGGCCGCCTCCTCGCTCCGCAGCGCTCGCGGCCGCCGCCGCTGCCGAAGCCGCAATCACGGAAGCGGCCGTCGCGCTTGGGGGGGCGCCTGCCGCCGCGCTGGGCTCGCTGGCCTGCCGCCTGGCCACTCCGAAATCGGGGTCCTCGAGGTCCTCCGTCGGCCGGCAGTCTCTGGCCCCGTTGTCGGCGATGTGGACCTCGATCTCCGCTGCATGCCCGGCCGCGTCGCGGGCTCGGGCCGAGGGCCCCCCGAGCAACAGAAGGTCGCCGTCGTCCGCCGCATGGCGCCTAGCGCCATTCTTGGCCCTGAGGTCGGCCAGTCGGCCCCCATCTCTCTCCTTCGCCGTGACCTCTCCGAGCCGAACCGCCGCCTCGGAGGTGCGGGCTGGGATGTGCCTCGCCGTGGCGCCGTCGATCTCGTCGCCGACCCGCGCCCGCAGGTGGGCGCGCAGCGAGGTCGGCCCCTGAGCTCGCTGCAGGTTTCCGACGGCGTCCACCGTGCCCCGGCAGTCGCAGAGGGTTTCGTGCGCCCCGATGATCTCCCTCAACGCAACCACAGCCGCATAGTCTTCGCCAGCCCTCGCTGACTGGGCGGGCATCTCACGCGGCGGCGCCGCCCCCCAGGCCTGCGCCCAGACCTGGCCCTCCTGAGACATCACAATGACTGCCCAGCCCGCGCTGCGGAGGGCGGGGAAGCGGCCGTTGAGGCAGGGGCCGCCCGTGAGCACCAGCGTGCCAGGCGGCGCCGCCATGTGGCCCCCCCATCCAATCTGGCGCCGCCCCCGGCGAGGCTGCGACAGCGGTCTCTTCAACAAAAGGACCGCGTCGACGAAGAAGCCCTGGGCGAACTGCTCTCGGAACCTTTCACCGAGGTTCCGAGCAACGATGGCTCCTTCCCTCAGGTCGGCTGGAAAATGATCTCTCCTCCAGGCCTGCCAGGCTGTGCATTCGAAGCGTCGGTGGAACATCGCCCCTGCCCCTCCATGGCATAGGAGGCACGTGGGGCTGATGTAGCAAGCCTCGCCTGGCGCCAGTGGGGCAACGAGGCCGGCCAACGCAGGCAGCCCTCGTGGTGGGGGTCCAGATCTCCGCGGTCCTCATGCCCAGCAGTTCATTGACTGGCGACCACGCTGCAGGCAGCCGCCGCGGCCAGAGCGAGCCAGTCCTCGCGCGGCACTCCCCCGTGGCGGCCGCCTGCCCGGTCGCTTCGCGGGCAAGGAAGGCGGGGGGCTAGCGCCGCGCATCGAACTCCACGCCCAACTCGTCCTTGATGGCGAGGCCGTCCCGCGTGAGCTGCCAATCTATGCGTTACAAGGTGAGCACCAGCGCCGCCACAGGGTCACGCACTGCCGACCATGGCCTCTGGCTGTGCGCGAGCCTGCGGCTGGACTCCAGGCGGGAATTAATCGCGGCGGGCGAAGCCTGGCGCGCCTAGGTCGCACTGCCCTAGGCCTGCGCTGCCACGCCCGTCGCAATGACCAGGGGGTTCTGGCGCCAGCCTCCTGCGGAGCATTGCAGCGCAAAGCTGAGCGCTGTTCCTGGGGCCAGCCGGCCGGCGCCCTTGGCCGCCGCCACCCGCAGGGCCCGCGCGCGGCCAGGCGGCGCTCCAGAGGTAGCAGAGCCCCAGAGGGCTTTCGCCGTCGGCCCTGCCTCCACCACCTTGGCTCGTCGCAACCCTGGGCCAAAGATCCGACCCAGGCGAGATGCCTGCCGCGGGGCTGCAAGCTCCCGCGCCACTTGCGCGGTCACCCTGCGGCGGGCTCCCGCAGGCGCATCGCCTCCAAGGTTGCGGCGCCCTGAGACGAACGCGTCCGCGGGAAGCGGCCGGCTCTCCCGCGCCAGCAGCGCCCTCTGCAGGTCAGCCGACGACGCCAGCACCTTGGTCTTGCTCCAGTTGATGGGCAGGCGCTTGTCGCGCAGCATGGACACAACCCCTGTGGCGAACTGGCTGATCTGGCGGACCAGGATCTGCTTCGTGCCGATGCCATGCCCCGCCACATCGTCGATCACGTTGACCACTCGTCAAACCTGGAGAAGGGCGCGACCGCGAAGCAGCAAGTCGTGCAGCATCAGACGAGCCATCGTAGTCGCGCGAGAACAACCTGCAATCACCGACCCTCTCAAACAGATCTCCTCCTCGCTGATGGCGCCGTCCGCCGCGGCGCGCCTGAGGCCTGAGTAGGCGACGCAAGGCGCCTTCACCAGGCCAGGGCTGAAGCCGCGCGCCCCTGCCACCCGGTGGAGCAGCTGGTGCTCGATCCACTCGTAGAACTTGCTGATATCGAAGTAGACTGATACCCCTTTCGAACCCCTTCGAGCGAACCAACCCGAGGTAGAGGTTGTGCAAGTAGGCCGCCCTGTCGCAGCTGGTCTCAGAACTGCTGCCCCAAACCTCGGGCAGCTCGTGCTCGGTCTCCCATCTGGCGCAGCGCCGCCTACGCGTGCGACTCCACCGCCGCGGCCAGAAGGGCATCGGCCCGGCGGGCCTCCTGCCGCCGTCGGGCTTCGCCAGGAAAACCTGGCTGGGGGGCATGAGATCACGCTCCCAGGCGGAGAGCAGTGCCGCTGCTCGGACCGCAAAGGGCTGGCCCGAGAGCAGCAGCAGCAGCCGCGGGTGAAAGCCGTCCCAACCCACGGCGGTCTTCTGGGGAGGGGCTTGGCCGCCTCGGTCACCTCTCCTCCTGCGATGACAGGCAGGTCCATGGTCGCCGCCCAGCCCCCAGGCGACGGAGGTCCCCTGGCGGACTTGCCCTGCTGCGGCGCATTGGGGGCCCTCCTGTCAACCCGAAGCCGTTTCCACCACATCAGCGCCTGGCCCAAGGCGGCTAGGCCAAGCAGCGAGACAGGCGGGGCCCCTGCCTGGCTTCTCTCGCCCAGGACTGAGAACTCCCCCTCGTGCTGCTGCTTGCTGACTGCACGCGCCCCGCTGCCTCCTGCGGCCAAGGCGTCGTCCACCGACTCCGCCCAGCGGCGC